GGCATGCTTTGCACTCACGTTGCTATGGCCTTTCCGTCGTGTTTGAGATAAGTTTTAAAATTACATTTTGGTTTAGAAGCAGTTTGAGATTAGCACATAAAGTCAATAGTTAGAAACTGCAAATTTGCAAAACACATGTTCTAGATAAACTGGATAACTGAATTTCCATGTGAAAACCTTTACATGTATGGAAACAAAACCTGAGGTCAAGCATAGCAATAGGTTAAAAATATTCTTCAGATGAAGAAAATATTTTTTCCATTTTCACTGTGGGAAAGGAAAGGTACCAGAAAAAAAGAAACAGTGGAGCCTAGAATATCAAAGCAAATGAAAATGTTTCCGGAGTGCGCCTGCACAAAATTAAGTGTCAGAAAGATAAAAATATAATAGTTTTCACAAAAAAGAAGCAGCAGAAGTGGTAATTAATGCTTCTGTTAAAGACAGGATTTATATATCACTGTGGAGATGGTACAGCTTTCCAAATTAAAGAGATCTTTGTGCACATACTGTTTAATGTCTTTATCAGTGACATGAGCAATAGGACAGCGTGCACCCTTGACAAGTTCACAGACAGTGGACGGTTGCCTTCCCCTCTCTTATGGGAGGCTGCATCTCAGAGTTGCACAGGATGAGACACTCAATACAAACAGAAAATCTTTCACAATGAGGGGTGTCAGACCCTGGAGCAGGAGACTAGACAGGCTGTAGGATCTCCATTCTCGGAGATATCAACACTCATCTGGACAAGGCCCCTGCTCTAGCTGACCCTGTTGTAAATAGGGGGTTGGACCATAAAGCTCCATAGGTCCCTTTCAACCAAAATTACTCCACAATTTTGTGATTTCAGATGGCAGTAGCAAAACTTGGGCAAAATGAATCTTGCCTTAGAGAGATGCATCCAAAGAGAAGGACAAGTGAACAGTTTGGGAAAGGAACAAACCACTGCAAAACATGTACACAGACTTGAGCACTCCAGTATGCAGTGAAGGCAAATGAGCCATAAATGCAGCCATCAGGAACTACAGAGTGATACGTGGTAGGCAGCAGGAAAGTCATAAAGAAACATCCAGGCAACAGAGCATAGCTTTTAACTGAACAATTTTGCCCGCGTTCTGTAGAACAAAAGAAAATGGAACCAATGTATGTTGCTACTGAGGGTGTAGCAGTTTGGACCAGCAGAAGACTTTTAGGTCTTCTTTTAGGTCTAGCCATTGGCAAGTACGATGAAATTACCATTGCTGAGTGCAAACAACTATTCCCCTTGTTGAAAAGGGAAAAAATAGTAAGGAAAAAAAATATTTATTCAGCTTTTGAATTAATTTCGCTGGTCAGCTTCTGCCTTCGTTATGTACATGGGCATTCTAAAACCAGAAATCTGCACATGCACTGAAGCTTGGAGTAGAACAGCTAGTCTAGAGTTGAGAGGAACAACAGCAATAAGCAGAGCTGAAGCATGCATAGTCCACATAATACCCCGAGTGCAGAAGCCCCTGTGCTAACACCAACCACTTCTGTCAGGCATCCTGGAAATAAGTCGCTCAGAGCTACTGACAGCACCTGTTTGCTCTGGCAAGGCTTCAGGGAACACTGATCCTTGTCAGATAAACTAATTGAAGACAAGACATAACCAAGCAAAGGGCTGGTATTCAGTCCGGGCTCCCAGCACTGAGGAAGAGCCCATACCACACAACCAAACCATGAGGAAGATCTGTAAGTCTTCCACAGCGCTGGGATCCCAGGTTGAAGGCCAATATAGAAGATATAACCACAACCTTGTTCTGACCAATTGTTAAGCTTAGCTTGCCAGCTTTTAGGTGCCTTCCAGCTACTGGACCCCTGCTGAGGCTGTGTCTTTCGTGGCTGTCCTGTCAATAGCAAGACTTTGCCCATGCTGAGCCTTCTTTCTCCTCCAGAGCTCCTCTACCCTCTCACAGTCTAGTCTGCAAAATCCCTCCCAGTCAGTCACTTTACAGCCCACTGCTGCTGCCTCCTCTTACACCCGCAGTCTTCCCGGCCACTTCGCCCCCTTGTGGAAACGAATCCGTGCCTCCCTTTGCCATACACCAAGTATTTTCTTCCTCCAGCCCTCATGAACAGGCCAGCTCATCTGGCCTCTGACAGGCCCACTCAGCCTGGAAAAACGAGGTTCCATGCCCACCCTCATGTACAAAGCAGCTTTGCACGGCTGCCTTCCCCTGGGGCCGTCTTCCCCTCCCACTCCCATGCAATGCTCGAGCCTCACATGAGCTCCCCGGCAGGCTGGTCCCTGGTTTACCAGGGCCTCTCTGATCACCCCCAGACTGTTTCCCTGCAGCCGTCCTGGGTCTGGCTTAGGGCAGACCACATCTTCCCACTGCAGGTGCGCAGGGCGCCTACATGTTGGTGGCGAGCAGGAGGGTTCATCCAAACCCTCAGGGCCAAGGGCCATGGCACTGGCAGGAAGATGCTGGGGGGACTGTTCCAGGCTGCAGCCCCACTGTGGGCAGTCAGGGCCGTTGGAGAGAGGTGGGGTGAGACCAGGACCAGGGGCTGGGCTGCATTCCCCTTCCTGAAGCACCTGAGGAGCTGATGGCCTCATTGCCAGCAGATGTGAGCCAGCCCAACCCGCCCGCAGGGGCAGCTTTGGGCCCTGCTGGGTTGGGCCCTGCTGCCAGACCTTTTGGAAGCTGCGGCCCTGTACATTTCACCTTCATTTGCTCATGAGCTGACAAGTTCCTTCCTTGGGAAAGGAAGGAACTTGGTTGCCTCACTGTCTGGGTCCCCATGTCTGGGGTAGGTCACCCTTCTCCTAAATGCGTCCAGTCCAGTGCAGAGGAGAGAAGTAGCACACTGCAAGCCTCCTCCAGGGTATGCAGCTGGTGCTCTCCAGCTGAGACAGGGATGGTGGGTGGCTGTGGATCAGCGTGTGAGCTGGCACAGGTAGGACATGGTGACAACCACAAAACCACAGACAAAATGCAAAGAATAAATTTGTTTTCATTACCTCACCAACTGGGAGACCCCCAAAGCAGCCCCCAGGCAGAAGCACACAAACAGGGACGCAGCGCTCGGTCCAGGCTAGAGCATCGCTGAGCAGGCTGTTTTCGCCTGTATGTCAGGGATTCACGCAGGCATAGCTTAGCACTGTGCTTTGATCTTTCCCACAGCAGGGCAGAAATCTCAGACATGTTCAATAGGTACCTCTAAGTCTATCACAGACCTGTTGCCTAAACACAGATGTTCTACTTGTCAAACACAAGACTAAACAACAATTCATATGATATATGTGTTTTTCTACTCCTCAGCTGCAAGTCACTTGGGCATGTTCACAATCCTCCTTGCCAATCTTCCCCTGCCATAAAGGCACTGAGGGAGCTCAACCAATGCTCTGCAGACCTTGTCCAAGCATCTGAGGAAGAGCAGCTCCAGACCCGTGTCTTGGCATCTTAGTTGGTCTCAGTGCTGAAGGGGCTTTCTTTGGCACAAAACACCCCTAAACACCAGCTCGTATGACCAGAACACCTGAAAAATGGTCCTAGCACATTAATGATTTAATGCTAGCTTGGTATTGCAGCAAGGAAAATGTAGGTGTGGTCAAAATGTTTGCAAAAGATGGCAAAAGAGGATGTAGCCTTGAGCAATCTAACTATCTTGAGATTTTGGGCTATATATATGGCTATGTCTCTGGCTCTCTCAGTGTCCCTGGCAAAATACTGCTGGGCTAAGAACAAACAGAATGGTGTTAATCATTGCAGAATATTTTCCTGTTAACACACACCTCTGAGGGGACTCTGAAAGTAAAGGGGTCCATGAAGGGAGAGCGGTCTGAAAAGAGCAGCTTTCTCTAAAAATGGGGTCCATTTGTTACTAACGAGAATTAAAGCCACAGAATCCAAAATATGTGGAGAAGAGCTCAAGGAAACAGATGAAAGTTGACAGCTGTAGTAGATGCAAGACAGCGTAACAATGCAGTAAGGTCATGCTGTAAAGGCCTCCTGGCCCAACAGACCCTTCACACACCAGCCTACTTATTATTTGTCAACGTTTTATCTTAAGCAGCTCAGGTTATTTGGCTCTATTTGGAGGTCTAATGGCATGAAATCTCTGAAGCCATCTACCATTCACCCATAGACCCAGCTTCTCTCTCTTTGTTCTGGCATTGCTTTCTTTGAAGGGAAAGGATGTGGCATGGACACTCAGCTGATGTGTCAATAACCTTTTCATACACTGCTGTCATTCTCAGATACCTCCCCTCCAACGGAGTGCTGGTGCCCTGACTGTCCTGGGCAGGGGAAGGGGAGACATTGAGATTTCTACGGAAACTGGCAGGAGGTCTGGCAGTGTGTAATCTAGAGCTAGCTCACTTCTGGTGTTGCTGGAGAGGCACAGCTCACCCTGGATCCCAGTTCTGCAGGAGGATAGGTGAACAGAGCGGTGTGTGAGGCACTCCCCAGGCTACCCCTCTGTTGTTTTCAAAATGGCTCCCTGTGGCCCTGGGCAGCTCACAAGAACAGGCAGGCCAACGGGCAAACGTTACTGTCTCTTGACTGCCGAGGCACTCCTGTTTCCACAGAATGGACAGACACTGGGCCACTGGGTCCTTATCACCTGATGGGGCTGATGTATTCGGCCATCAGTGGCCCTGGTGCTGTTGGCACCTGACGAACCCTCCACACAGCACAAGCGGTGCCCACTCCTCGCCACTGCAGCAGGGAGGCTCGGCTGCCCCCGCCTGAGCACCCGGGCACCAGCACCTGGCCTGGCCAGTGGTGGGCAGGGGCTGCAGGCACCAGCCGCTCTGCCAGGGCCGGGCTGTGAGGGCCAGCCAGGGCGGTTCTGTGGGGAGGGGCACCTGGTGGTGCCTCGAGGGCCTGAGGGTCCCGCCATGCCCCCGCCGGGGCAGCCCTGGACAGCCAGCGGCCAGGCAGAGGCTAGCCTGGGGCACTGCAGCACCGTGGGCCGAGCAGGGGACACATAAGATGGCCAAGCCAGGCCTGGCGCAACAGGAACATGGTGCAGGGACTGGCACGTCAGAATGTTTATTAATAAAAAAAGTCACAATAACTTACTCCCTTTGTCGCACAAAGGGCTCGGTATAAAGATCTCTGGCCTCCTAAGGTAACATGGGGAAGTGAGAGGCGGGTACTTTTGTCTTGTCCTCCGAGACAGCGGCCTTCTCCTGTCCCCAAGGGGACGTGCAGCCAGCACATGGGCCCGGGCTGGGGGCCTGGCCCAGCAGCAGCCCGGGGCCCCCACCTGCAGCGGACGGTGCAGATGCAGAGAACACGAGAGCCTGAGCACAGAATGCCGGAGGGTGTGCAAGCTGCAGTGGAGGAGAAGGGAGAAGGGGCTGCTTCTTCCCGTAGTGCTGAGGGGTCTATGGAGGACAAGAAGTGAAGCAGCAGGACAGCAGCTGCTTGCAGGCCCGGGGGGGCTGGCTGGAAGCAGCCCCGCCTGCCCAGCTGCTGCCATCATAAGGTCTTGCCTGGCAGAGGCAGGAGGCCAGCTGTGGCTACTTGTCACACTCCAGATCCTGGGCCCCCTCAGCACCCTGGTAGTGCATCTCACAGAACTCCTGAATGCGACTGCAGGCCTCCAAGATCATCTCCTCTGGCACGGTGATCACCACACGGAAGAAGTTTGGGTATTCAAAGCACTGAAATGAGAAAGGATGAAGCTGTCAAATTACCTGGGATAGTGCTGTAGTTTCAGAGTCCTGCCTTGGGGCCATGTGCTGCATCAACAAGTGAAAAATAGTCAGTGTAGGACAGCAGGGCTCAGGTCTTGCTCCCTTAGACTGTTTTTTCGCTTCCAAGCAAATATCCCTTCTCCGTCCATGCAGACATGATGCTGTGAGAGTGACAGGCCAAGGGACTCTGTATGGACTAGGCAGGACCCAGGAAATGGTCTGGAAGGAGACAGGGAAGGGGAGGGCTGGAGAGGATCCAAGGTCCCCTCTGTCATCAGTGCTGGAAGTGGAGCCGGGAGGAGGTGGGACAAGGCACAGATGTTCTCAGCCTGTGCTCCGTCCCTATGCCTACAGGGGTGGGGGACTGGAAATGGGGTGAAGAAAGGAGCACAGGTGGGAGCAGTCCTGTGCCTCTGAGGCAGCAGCTTCTGCAAGGAGGTGTGGGGGTACATAGGGTCCGGGGGTATGTAGGGTCCAGGGGTCCAGCTCTGCCAGCTTGAGAAATACAGAGCAAGCCTGGAGCTGGGAAGATCCTGGCAGCCTGACTGAGTGCTGTTAGTGAGCCAGAGACGGCCTGTCCCCATGCCTACACACCACATGTGGAGCTGACAGCCAGCACAGACACAGCGTGATGAGGCATGGACACTGCACACACCTCCCGGCCTGTCCCCAGAGCTCAGGGCTGCAAACCCCTGTTGCTTCTCTCCCTGCGCTTTGGCCCCGCAGCTGCCTGGGGCTCTCAGGGTTAGGCTCACCGTGGCTGGCAAGCAGAACACAGACTGCTCCGAGATGAGCCGCTCAGTGAACTCCACGTCATTTTCAAACTCAGGGAAATGCTCCATCTCAATCTCAACCTGCAGCAGAGATGTAACATGGCAACCAAGGGCACCAAAACTATCTGTAGTGTCCCTGCTTACCCACATGGACCAGCAACTTCCCAGTCAAGCACAGCTGTTTGCCCTCATTTTTTGCTCATGAATTGGGCTGACTGGAATGTAAGACACAAACAGAAATATATAAATGAAAATTTGGGTTTCTTTAAGAAGTATTCATTAACTACTTAAAGCTAGAAGTTCAGTTAAGGACAACTTTAGTAAAAAGCTGTTGGCAAAGATACAGGAACCAATGAGAAGTGAGAAGGAAGATACTGAAAAACAGCTTGGGGGAGAACTCTAGTCAATATGCATTAATAATTCTGTCATGCAATAAATTCATGTGGTAAGAAAAAGACAAACAAGAAAGATAGCAAGGTCTAGAATATCACAAACAAAATAAATCCTTGTAGGATGATACAGTTCATAAAATGACACTGAAATGCTGGAATGTTCAATATATATTTCTGTTATGTATTTGAAGAGGTGGAGGCTGTCCCTTTATTACATAAAGACACAGTGATATCCTGGCTATTTGTTTGTAACCAAAGATTATTTTAAACATCTTATGAGAATGTTCTTAAACAAACCAGGTGAAAGATAATTTGCACGTAGAAGTTCTGAAAGAGCCAGTGGAAGAAAAATTTTACCAGATGACTTAATTTGAAATAAATGTTCAGATACTGCAAAAATACAGTAAGTGTGAAAGAACCATAGACCTGTGCCTCTACAAAAAGAGCATAAGCAAAATGTCCTGTGTAGTTCTGAGTAAGAATGGAAACAAGGTCAACTAATAGAGACTTATCTATAGGACTGATATTGCAGTATTCTCCAGTTCTGAGTCCAGATTTTTATTAAAAACTGGAGACGCTATGAGACAAAAAACAGATTTAAAATGTGTTAAAATCAAGAGCTTGAAATCTCTCAATTGAGCTTGTTGAGATGAAAAGGGAAGTTTCACCACAAAAGTTAAAAAAAACAGGTATGGAAAAAGGCAGAAAAAGAGGCAAGAGCACAGGCAGAAGACAGGCATACTAGTGGGAAGAAGGCTACATCTTCAATGGGAAGTATGATAATCTGATTTGTAGTGCAGGGGCTTCCCATTGCCAGCTGGCTTTAAATCCAGGTAAAACAACATTGTCTTGAAAAGTACAATTCATTGATTTCTGTGCAGGAGCAAGCGGGTGAGATGTACCAGCCTCTGCTATGCAAGGAGTGAACAACATATTCTGGCCTTTTAAAGTGACCGAGGGATGTGTCTACTGCACAGGGCAAGTGAGAATGTGTGGTAAGAGAGACCTGGTGCCAAGCACCACTCTGAAGCCACTGACAAGCAATGGCCACCAGACGTGGTGTGAGTGTAGATGATCTGGAAATGGCACGTCGCTCTCCTTGCTTACCATGAGGTACATGGCTCCGGCAGGCTGGACAGGCTGGAGGCCAGGGATAGCTGATAAGGCAGCATAACAAAGGTCAGCATTGGACTGAAAAGCAGAAAAGAGAAATTTCAAAACAGGAGAAATTCCAGGAAGCAGCTCAGCAAATGGAAGCCAAGCTCTAGACCAGGACTATAAACAGGTTTGCCCACTGCAAATAAAGGAAGACTGAATGCAAACAGTATGGGTGATCATGGCCTTGAGCACAGCAGTCGTGACTGAGCTGAGCTCAGCAAGTCAGTGCCAAACACCCCATCCCCTGGGTCACCAACTCCAGCTGCAGGGCTGGGCTGCCTGAATCTTATTGCAGCCCATATTTCTGCCCCAGTTACCACATCTCCTGCTGGAATTTGATTTGTTAGCCTCTCCTAGTCACAGATAGAACTGCACCTTCAAGCAGGATCAGGAGAGGGATGATGAGCTAGAGAGATATGACTCCCTCCAAACAATCATGAACAAACTGTGCTCACCTGTCACAGCCTGTTTACCTTGAGGATGCTGAGGGTGTTGTGGTAGAATTCAGGGGGTGTTCGGTGCAAGATACGTTCCAGTGCTCCTTGGACAATTGTACAGGGTCCTAGGATCCTTTGGCTCAGTCTTACAAGGCCATCCCTGATCTGAAAAAACATGGTGATATTTGCAGCTCAAGCTGTGCTTCTCTGAAGGACAAGAACAGCTCCAAGGCCTACTCTCTTATGTTCCTACAGCTGTTCACATTCATCTCTTCAGTGAGCACAGAGTACTAAAGAACATTTGCTTGACTATATGCCAGACTATTTACAGTGTCATTCTCTGTTCCTCAGTTGCAGACTGTAATGCCAACAGAGACAACCTTTGGAGCTTCCCAACTGGGAAAAGCTGGAATAGAGCTAACACTAATAGAGCGCTGTTCCAAATACCACTTTGCATTTCCCTTAGGTCTGGGCTCACAATCCACACTTTCAAAGCCAGGTAGGGACAACCAACACTGGCCTTCAGCTCACTCAGTCGGTCCTCTCTTCTCCCTCTTCCTCAACAGAAAGCTCTCTAGGTGGACAGGTTGTGCAGTAGATGGTTATTCTTGTAACACAGATGAACAAACAGCCAGATAAAGCACTGGCAGCACTGCAGGGTGCTTCTTTTAAGAGACACTATATAAGAGCACATAGAGACCACCCCTGGACTCCACATGCTGGATAAGCCATGCAATACTGTCAGTGCACACTGGAGCTATTTGAGAAGAGAAGGACACACACAAAAAAGACAATGCATTTATGAAGGAGCAGCAGAGACAAGGAGAGTGTCACAGTGTAGATGTGCGTAGAAGTCCATGTATGGGAGCAGATGGAGTGAGGAAGGGACATGAAAAGCCCTAAGGTGCAGAAGAGCATGTAAGCAATTGGATGACACCCATGTGAGAGCAAAATTGCAGTACATGCCTGTATCAGTTAAAGCCCTGATGATCCACACACTGAAGACACTCCAGTCTGTAGCTGTGACAGCAACACTCAGCAGTTCTCACCTCATTACCAAAGATGTCTCTTCTGTCATGAATCAGGATCCAGCCCATCCGCCAGCCAGGGACTAGCCATCGCTTTGCCAAGCCACCACAGGACAAGATTGGCACGTTGGTGCTGAGAGTTGCAATGGGTTCATATTTGCAGTCTGCAAACACCTGTGACAGGAGGCTGTGTTAGATCTGTCCCTGCCTCTTATTGCAGGAGCTGTGGAGGCGTGCATGAGGCAGAACAAGAAGGGAAGCAAGGAAATGATGGGAAATTGGTGGTGAAAGCTCCCAGCTTCAAGCTGTGAACATGGTAAGTGCGCTCACATGAAAGTGAGCAGTTTGGGAAGAGGAAAGGAGCTGGACATGAGAGGTGCAGGACTGCACACCAGAGGACTGGGAACTCTGGCACAGCGCAGGGGAGTGGAGCTGTGGCTCACCTCTGGAGACCTGGATGCATCAGAAAGGACAGGCAGCATGGGGGTGCAAGGGACTACAGCTGACACTCACCATGTCTCCATAGATCTCATCAGCAAGGACAGGCACGCACTGTCTTGATGCCACTGTGGGAGAAAGGGCATTCAGCCTGGCCGCCCTGTATTCTCCACAGGAGCAGACTTGCCCATTGCTGCAGAGCCTGACAGGGCTCTAAGGGAAGCTCTGTCCCTATCTTCCCCCTACAGACTGTTCTTTCTGAGAGCCCAGGCACTGGAGAGCTGTGCCCTGACTGAGCCTAGTTCTGCTTTCACCTGCGGGGGCAGCTGCCTCCCTCCCCCAGCCCTCCCACTGACAGGCTGGGCTGCGGAGCAGAGGGCTCCCCGTCAACACTCTCCTCTGTGGAGCCAGAGTTAAGTGAGCAGTCGAGGCCACACAGAGTGTTTTAGGAAAGGCAAGAGACACGGTCCACACGTTCTTGCCCAGAAAAGGCAACACCTTCACACTGAGCAAGCCCTGCTTCCTGAGCTGGAGTCAGTCATGAGGGCAGAGGCAAAGCCCTGGGCTGCAGCACTGCAGTGACCAGGACATGGGCGATGTGGGCAGACACTAGGCTGCAACCAAGGCCCAGGCTCACCTGCCAGGATCTTCTGGAGATGGCTCTTGCTGAACACAGAGCCACAGGGGTTTGATGGGTTGTTCACAATGAGGCAAGCTGTCTTCTCATCCACCAGAGATTCCAAATGCTCCAAATCAATTTCCCAGGCCTTCTCGGGCTAGCAAAGTGAAGGGGAAGAAACAGCTGAGGAATTGGACTTGCCACACAGAGTGGGGCATGACAGGGTGCCCAGGGTTGCTCGGGTTATCTTCACCCATGCCCCAGGCAGGGCCAGGGTATTTCTCAGAGGCAGAAATGTCAGGACTGCTCCTTCCAGGCCTGCCACCACTTACCAAGAGGTTGTAGAGTTTGACCTCAATCCCCATAGACAATGCCAGAGTCTTGTAGAGGGAGAAGCCGGGCCGTGGAACCAGGATGTTCTGTCCTGGGTTGGCCAGCACTGCCAAGGCAAGCTCTATGGCCTGGCTGCAGCCACTCGTTAAGATGACATCCTGCAGAGAGCACACAGCAGTTCATCAGAAAGCACAGCCCCTCTGAAGTGTCCCAGCCACGTGGGAGTGACATAATGCCCAGGCTCTACCAGGTGAGAGCTTCTCACCCAAGAAGACAAGTCCAGAGCCTGACCAAAAGCTGGAAACCTCCAACAGCTGGAGAACTCAGCCTCCTCCCGAGGACGGTGGAGGAGAAGGGCTCAGGGCAGGGGGTGAGGGCAGCAGAAGGCTGCTGGGGACAAGGCCATGGGCTAGCCTTCAGCCCACAGCTGGGCAGGGGAGGAAGAGAGCTGGGGCAGGCCCCCATGCTGTGTGGTCTAAGCACGGGCAGCAGCACCCTGCCCACACTGCGCGGGGAGTGCCTCAGCTGGGCACCAGTACCTGGGCCTCCAGTGGTGCCTCTGGGCAGTTGTAGTATGCGGCCACTGCTTCCCGGCAGGACTGGTAGCCTGGGGAAAGAGGAGCCAAACATGGAAGGGATGTTTTTCCAGACCGCTTAGTTTTTCTTGCCAGTACAAGGCTCACAGCTGCCACCCAGCTGGGGGAAGCCCATTTGTGACACAGAGCCAAGGCGGCAGGAGCTGTCCTGCCTCGGGCCAAGCAGGGTGCAGCCCTGAGGCTGGGCCAGGTGGGCCAAGAGCAGGGACAGACCCTGGGCAGGGAGACAGGCTCTGGCCCCAGATGGGCCAGACACAGGACTGACAGGAGGAGGGCAGCCAGAGAGCTGCTTTGACTCCACGGGAGGCCAAGGGCTATTACCTGGCCCTCACTGCTTAGTGATGGGATGGGAGCAGCCTCCCTGTCACCACACGGCATCTCAGGTGAGGCAGGTGTGACCTGAGCTCTGTGCAGGCTTTGTGCACTGGCTGCAAACAGGGCTCATTTTGTCTGTGAAGTCAAGGCGCCCAAGGGGACTCCTCGTCAGGGCAGTTCAGAAAGAAGCCTGGCTGCAGCTCACAGCAGGGAGACATAGTCCTGAGCCCTTCTGGGCTGTTGTAATGGCTGGGGCAGCAAACACAGCTTCTACAGGAGGCTCTGGGCCTCAAACAGATCACACAGGGAAGGGCATGCAGGTCTATCTGGGGGATACACATGTTTGCATGCTCATGGGATTATAGGTGAGGGCAGCTGCAGGGTGCTACTGGAAAGATGTCTGTGGGCTCCATATACCTGCGGTGCTGTAGGGCCTGGCACATGCCTTCATCCTGCTCTCACAGGAAGAGCTTTGTCAACTTACCAACGGATGGAGCATAACCGTTGTAATGTCCTGAGTCCAAAGCCTCCTTCATAGCCCGTGTGACCTCATCGTTTGTGGGAAGGTTTCCAAAGACCGTCGGGTCTCCTTTTCAAAGATTGAAAAATAGTGAAGTTCTCACTGATCTGTGGCAGGGCACAGAGCTGTGTGGTTGTCTGGCCTATCCCTGGGTGTTCGCACAAGCTTTGTGCTTCAGAGCCCTGCAATCTGCCAGCCACACAGTCAACCCCACTGCCCAGAGGCTTTGGCCACAGCACTGTGCTCACCTAAAGACAAGGAGATCATAGCTTTCTTTGGGTTAGGCTCCACCTTCATGCTGTCTACGATGGCTCGGACAGGATTGAAAGTCTTCTTTGACATTTCAGAAGCCCTGACAGCCCATCTTGGCTTCCGGCCCTTCACCTTCCCCAGTGATATGCTGTTCCCATTGGTCTTGAGATGAACATCCAGCACAGGGGCATGATCTCCATGGCCATTCACTTGGATCAGGTATGAGTCCATCCTGAGAGCTGTCAGTGTGGAGTGGATTTCCTGGGCTTAGTTAACAGATGCCAAACAAGGGATCTGCCCATTTGGGGACACAGCCCACGATTCTCCAATAGTAAACCTTCTGAAAGCTGTAGGCCCCCCCCCTCCTGCCTATGGATAACTCAGTCAGCAGCAGCAAGTAGGGCTTCATTTGGGACCAGGATGGAGTGAAACCCCACACATAAGTGAGAGGACAATGCAGTGGGAAAGATAAAGGCACCTCTCTGTGCTAGCTGCACCCCTGCCAAGCATGGGCTTACTGTGCTGGGGAGCAGGTGCCATTAAAGCCAGCGGCCAGGACTTAGCAGCATGTGGTGGTTGCTGCTTGACTGCAGATTCAATGTTCCACTGACAGAAGGGCCAGGTTCACCCCGCACCTTCCCCAGCTATCAGCTCGCACACCTCAATCTGCCACCACAGGAATCAGCCCACTATGTGTGTTCACATCTAGAATGTCTCCCAAGTCTGCAGTCAGAAATGCAGCACTCTGAAAAACAAATCTCAGATGCCAAAAAGCTAGTTCTGGCCAGTGTCACCACGATGCACTGGGCAGCGGCAGGGTATAGGTTACAGACATTTGCCTCTTAGCTGAGCAACACCCCGGTCCAGAGAGCCTAGATCAAAAAGCAGTGCTTAGAAAATGAAGCAAGACTGCTACGGCCAAGAGGGAAACCTGGGAGGTGGCTCTGCCCCAAGGGTCTGTAGTCCTGCCCCAGGCTGGGTAACAAGCAAGGCACAGAAGAGGAACAGCTGCCTTCTAGGCCCCAAAATGCACACTCCAGCACGTATACCCAGAGCACAAGCCAGACCCAGCCAGCAAAAGCCTTACAAACTGCTGCTGACCTAGGGCTTGCCACCGGCAGAAGGTTAGGGGCAGGGCACAGGGCAGGCAGAGATCTCCTGAGCCACCAAGTCCATTCTTGCTGGTACTGCCACACTATCTTGTAATCCTGCCACAAACCGCTTATGCTCTCTACACTGCCCTATTGCCTTGCTCCACTGACTGGCACTTCAGTGAACAGCGGCCCTTTTCTGATGGCAGTTACTTAGACCCATGCTCACAGATATTCACAACACACCTAACCCTTCCCTGCTGCAGAAACTGAGCTGGAAGGGTTGTAGCATTGCCTGGTTCAGACAAGATTTTCCATCTGAACAAATTTCTCACAGCTTTAGTGAAGTCTGCACCTAGAGATGCCCCATGCTGCTGCAGTTACTCTGCCAGCTGGACTGCATTAGCCTGCTTACAGCAACCCAGGCTGATATAACAGGGTCACAAAACAGGACTTCAGCTTCTCTGCTGCTAATACCTTCTGGGTCTCCTTTCTACCAAAAGCAAGACAGCTGAAGAAGCATGCAGCAGGGCTGCATAAAAAATTGAGCAGAGAAATAAGCCACATATCTCAGTTGGCCATAGCGCAGAGGCTGTCCCCCAAGAGCCTTCACACCACCCAGCAACACGATTCTCCTGCAAATGGGAGCTTCAGACACAATGGACTCCTTCAGCGTAGGCAGCCAGGGCAGATCTCCCTGCTTCTCCCCCCCAAAAGAAGCAAGGTACCAGAGCATAGCACTTTACCTTCTACAGCACAGAGAGGGAGACACCAACAAGCTTGGGGGTCCAGTCCCTACTTCTCATCCAGGACAAATCCCCTTGAGAGGAAACTCCTGCAAATTCTTGCCCATGAAATAAGCCCCAAAACTGGGCGTTGAGAGCGAATCGTTTAGCCATTGGCTCAGAGAGAGGGCTGCTCTCCCCACCCAAAACCACCCTCTCCTCCCCATTGAAAGTGTGTTCACTTCAAACATCTGGAACATGCCTGCTCATTAACTCTTTCTGGGGGCAGCCTGCCCCCTTTGGCACCACAGTCCTCAAAGACTGCGGAAGCAAATCTGCACAGAGTCCAGGTATTCCAGCCCTAGCATCTTGTAATGCACCAATAGTGGACTGATGGACCCCAAAGCCTGCAGAAAGCATCAGTCTGTCCTCACCTCAAAGGCTCTGGGCTCCCAGTGCACCAGCTGAGAAAGGAGTTTGTGGCACCATTACAACCAAGAGCTATCTCCCTCCATAGGCTGAAGGGAGGCAGGCACTTCCCTAGCTGGTGTCTTGGAGGCACCTGGACCTGAAGGGTTAAAGGAAGCTCAGGTTGCCATGAGTTTGGGGTGGGCTTTTTTTGGTTGCTGCAGGTCCCAGGCAAACTCATAATTTTGGCAGCTAACAGGAATGATGCAATTCTTCCCTCTCTGATGGTTTTGCAAAGCACAGGTGACACCATTCCCAGAAGGCTCTTTTTTGCTAAGTGATGTGAAATCTATGCATTCCTGTCCCTTGCCTCCTGCAGGCCTGGGATAAATAAGAGAGGCATCTGCACCCTGTCTCAGGGGCTAGAAGCAGGTTGGGAAGTGGTGGGGTGCAGCCAACAAGTCCAGCCAGGGTTCCTAGCCCCAGACTGGCTGGCAGGCCTCCCACAGCTCCTGGGGGCTTTGGACAAGGAATAGAACCTTTCAAAAACACTTCACAAATGTCTTGTACTGAAGCTGCTTGGGCTCTCTTCTGCTGAGACCTGCACAGTTCCAGACTACTTTCTTCTTTTTACTGAAGCCTGATATGAGTGACTTTCAGAAGTCTATGCAGGCCTTTTTCAAGCACCCATGGTTATTTTCTCACTTTCCCTAGCCGGCCCCATGCTGCAGCCCTGCCAGGATTGAATGTGGCACTGGGAGGCCTCAAGGACGATGCTGCATGTTCTGCCTAGCAACAACCCAAAGCTGACGCAACTAGAGCTCTACCCATCATACTGCACACAGCTGTGGGGTTCAGGAAAGGGCACACTAGAAGCCTGCTGCCAAGAGGGGAAAAAAATGTGGCTCTGGAGACATAGGTAGATGCAGTTACATAAGGCCGAGAACTTGGCCAGACGCAGGGGGAGGACAGTGGTGCACAATGGGGTCAGTGGGTTTCTCCTGATATTGCTATGCCTTTCTCCTCTCTCTGCAAGACTCCAGGCCTCGGGATGCTCTCACATGGGCTCTGCAGCTCCCCTCCACCTTGTGGTGCACAGAGCCTCCCAGGGCTGAAGCAGGAGCACACAGATCAGCACTTCATGGTCTATAAATACAGCCAAGGCACCCGCAGGATGTATTTCTGACAGCAAGACAGCGGGGCTGTCTTGACCGTCAGGACCCCTGTACCCCACTAGCCCTGACCAGTCCTCCCCCTGCAGTTTGCCTCTCCCCCTCAGCAGCTCTCCTCCACAGGTATCTTCCCGTATACCTCTTCAGCTCCCTCTTTCTTGTGTACCTTGAGCAGGTGATTTTTGTGTCTTCCCAGTGGAAGAAGAAACTGGTGATGGCCTCAATGTTTTCTTGGTACAGCCTCACTCTGGTACCACGACTGCCCAAGAGTGCCATTCCTGTGAACAGAGGCCAAGCCAGCAAGAGCCAGCAGTTCCCTTTTCCAGGCCCAGATGCAGTTAGAAAGCAGGACTGGCAAAGGGCCACTTGAGCGGAGCACAGGATCAAGCCTCTGTCTCTGTCAGGCTGCAGGCAGGACATGCACCAGTGGGGCTTTGACCACGTGCCCTGCTCCAGGGACAGACACTCCACTGATACTCTGCACAGAAATCCACTGGGCTGAATAACAAATCACTTTACTAGTTACCTCCTAACATCTTGCTTTTATTTTCAGCAATTTCTGCCCACTCCTTTCTGATACTGGTACAGCCCCAACCAGCTCAGGGCTGGCAACCACAAATATGTGTGTAGCTTAATCTCTGGTCTCTGCATTTCCTATTGAATCAGCTTTTAATAACCAAATATGCGATTTTTCCTTTTTTTTTTTTTTTTAAATCAATTTATTGTTACTCTCATTTAAATGGGCAAACAGCCTTCTTGGCTCTCATGAATTTTGTGACTGTTTATCGATTCCCACAGCATATTTACCTTTATAACACTGCGGCAGGTTTTCTGAGATGCCAGGGACAAACCTTGCCTGCGACAGGTCAGGTCACACTGGCGCTCTGAAAATGCACATATTCAGAGCTAAACCTGCCTTGCAGTGTGCACAGGGCTGCTGTGCCGAACCTACATATAACTGCATGAGTCTCTGATCAAACCATGATGATATTAATTAGCCAGCATTCACCTGAAAGGGAGCATAGCACCTGTTATCTCTTTGCATAATCAGAGCAGAAAATCAGCTCCAAAAGAACCCGGCTAGGCTCTACAAAGCTGTGCAAACATTGTGTGTAAGAGCCAGGGTGATGGCACAATCCACACAATGTGACTCAAAGCCAGTAACTGAGTGACTCAAAAATAGACAGAAGCTACTTGATCTATCTACTGTCTGTAGTTAGAATCAATTTTGCTTTGATCTCAGAAATAAAAATCTGAAAGACATTAAAAGGTAAACAGCACAGTCTAGCCAGAGATGCCTCATTCTGGAGAAGTTGCCTGCGCACAGCAAGCAGTTTGCAGGGTGAGCTGGGCTTTGGAAAGGGGAGCACTGGCACCTATGGCTTCTCTGATCTCTGCCTCTCCTCTGAGAGTGGGCCGAGGTGGCTCACATGGCAGCAGTGCAGGGCGCTGCAGCAGGGACAGCGATACACTGTCCAGCTCCTGGTGGAGCTCTCCTTGGCAGGCCCCAGGCCAGACTGAAAACAGCTGCGTTAATGAACGCGATCTCCTACCACTGCAATTTCCCACTGTCAAGAAAAGCAGGGAATGTATGAACCAAATGCTTTCATAACCACAGCCTCCCACAATACCAGTGTCTGCAAATGCAGCGCTGCAACGCGATAACCGCTGTGCTGGGCTATGCAGTGGCGCTGGGGCGGGGAAGGAGAGCGGTGGCGCGGCGGGCCCTCGCAGCACTCAGCCTGGGCTCCACGTTCCTCGGAAGCACGCTGAGGGATCTGCGGGCACCCCAGGTTAGTGGGGAGTTGGAAGCACTGCTGAGCTACAGGCCCAACAGCCACAGTGACAGACTTGCAAGCCCTGTGACGGATGCTGAGGAATGCGCCCCACAGCATGGACGTCAGTGGCTCCTGGGTAAAGGCACAGTGAAGAGAAACACCTTGTCCAGCCTTGTGCTTTGCTTACATCCAGGTAAATATGATGTTCCCTGTGTTTTGAGTTGTGACTTCAGAGACTTAAGCTGTTGTGTGCTTTGTTGGGCCGCTGCCCCCTTGATGGCCTTGAAGCCACAGGGACAGTGACCAGCTGGTGGGGATGGGATGGGAAGGGGCATGGTGGCTCTGTGGGACGAGGTGACACCGTGAGCTTGCTGTGAGTGGGGTGGGCAGAACCAGGCACCTTGTTCTCTCAGAGCACAGACAGGACAGCCCCTCTCATGACTGAATTTGAGCCCCAGCAATGGAAACCCACCACCTGCCCAACCAATCTGCTCCAGCAACAACTGCTCATCTCCTTACAAAGTGGTGTATTCCATGTGCGTGTGAGTATTGTCTTTCTTTGAGGGTGCCTAAGTCACATCTCTTTTGCTTCAAGCTAAGCTCACTGCTTCCTGACTGTCACAGCAGCAGACAGGGAGAACAAAATATTCCCCTCCTGGACAGCAGTGTTTTACAAGTTTGCAAGTTAAGACACCTCCCTATTAACAAGCTCTCAAGTTGTTAACAGACACCTGTTCTGTCAAATGAGAAGACTGGGATCGATCTTTTTCTCATAGGTTGTATTTCTAGAGCTTTCTTTTGCTTTCCTCTGGATCCTCTCCAGCTGATCCACTCGCCTCTGGAAACACAGAGTGCAGGATTAGAGGCCTAACCAGCACTGAGGGGGCAGGGGGGGGCAGAAGAGTTTCTTCACATGTCCTACTTGTGACATTCCTGTTTATACACCCTAGCTATGTTAGTTTTTTTCGCAACAGGATGACATTTGTGGACTTGAGTTCAGTTTGCCATTCACAATAACCTCCAGTTCTTCTCTGCAGCACTGCTGCATCGTCATTGTGCTGAGCTCATTGTTCCTGTGATTATTTATTTATGTGGGACAGTCAATAAATCTGGCTGTGGTGTCCAGCAGTGATTGTGCCACAGGTCCCAGCTGCCTCATGCTGGAGAAACATGAGGTAGTTCATTATTTGCTCCTTCCACTTCACCCTCCAGGTTCCCAGGGAGGGCACTGAACCAGGTCAGCACTCTTGGCCCATGGCAAGCCAGGCCAGGCCCTTCCTTCCTTAGTGCAGCAATGACATCAGGAGTAGCCAGAAACAGAAGAGCCAAAAATTTTTTAAAAATTAGAAAGAGGAGCCAAAGCAGAGGTGAAGATTAATATTGGCGTCCTCAGCTTCCTGTTGCTCTCTTCTGCTGACTGCTCCTTGTTGCAGTGAGAATAGGAACCCAGAAGACAAGGCTGACCAAGCTCAGCTATGGTACTTTGAGCAGTAGTGAAGTGACACAAAGCATTTTTTTAACATTTCTCAATATAGCAACAGAAATGAAGACTGACTCAGTTCTAAAACACCTTGAAGTTTGTACCTCACTTGTTAGCAGCAAACACTCTAGTAGAACACTGAACACATGACCAGAGCAGTGCCTCCCAGCTGTCTTTGAACAAGTAATTCCAGCACATCACAGATTCCAAAGAAAGCTTCAGCTCAGGTTGCTGGATGACCAGCAGCAACACTGCATAAGAAACACTTATTTCATCCCTTCTTGTGACTCATGAGTATTCAGCTTAGTTGTTCATGGCCCTCTCATGGCAGTTAAAAGCTCTGCTAAGCCAAATGGTGTTGCTCAGGATCTTGTAACCTTTTAAGCTCATCCTGTGCATGGCAGCGAGGAGGCCCGGGCTCTGGCACATGAACACGAGTGATGCAGTGCATGCACACCAGAAGGGGTGTGTGCAACTGCCTCATTGCTGAGCATCTGCACTAACCTCAGGACCCCTGTCCTAAGCTCCCCACAGTCTCTCCATTTCCTAACTTATCATCATCACACAGTTCCTGTCCTACCTGAACTGGGGGTTCAACAAAACTGTGAGTTGTTTTGTTCTCTCTTATTCCCAAACTAAGTATATTTTAAGACAAGTTTTCAGATCCCCCGTCCTTCTTGGAATCAGACAAAATGTTAAGAAAAGTGTTTTTCTACAGTGCTGAGGTGCAGTGAGTATTGCAGCCTACAGGCTTCTCACGGTATCAATCTATAGGGTTGTTGCTGTTGCCCCTGCAAGGACAAAAGGGTGAAGTAATCACTGTTGCCACCAATCTTACAGATGAAGGAAATGTACTGCTGCATCTTAGTGACAAATTTGGACCTCTGGGGGTACATATTCACACTGTGTCTGAGACCTCAGGGTGTAACTCTTGTTTCCCTAAATGCAATAGAAGTATTTCTATGCAATGCCAAAGCTTTTCCAGGCAGCCTTTGATCAAACTCTTGAATAAAAATATTCACGCTGGCTGTCAGGTTCTCTATGCTTCCCTCTGTGTTTCCAAATTGTCCTACCGATTATTTTTTTCCCGTGACACACAGCCTTTCCTGAATCAGCTCTGCCCTTACCAGCCCTGAGAAATGCTGACATTGTGCATGGTGGGTGAGATCTTGGGCATTTGCCTTCACTCCAGCAACCACCAGTAAACAAAGGAGCAATTCATCGCCTCTGCTGACGGGACGGCAGCCAGTCCCACTGGGCAGCGCAGTGGGATGCTGTTACTGCGTGTGGAAATGTGGCAGCCAGTAAAAAGGTCACATCACACTGTTTGAAGTGGCCTCCAGGGATCAGACACAGAAAAGATCTACTCGGTTCTGTAGAGGTGAATATCAGGAAAATTACCTGAAGGCGTCCTGCGCAGCGCTGAGCTGGGACCTGGCCATTGGGCCGCAGGTCAGATCCCCGGGTGCTGATGACTGGAGACGGGGCTCCGCAGGCCGGGCGGCGGGAGCAGTGGAGGGATGCTGGGCATCGCGGGAGCGGCGCAGGACGAGGCGGCAGCACCCACCCTGCTCTGACACAGAACCCTGGTGCGCCCGTGTCTCGAGGGCTGCCTGGCCCGGGCACTGCACCTCGTGGGGGTTTAGGGGAGTCAGGATGGGCTTGGGAAGGTCCAGAGAAGGGCGGCTGATGCAGCAGAGGGCACGTGCCACTGCTCGGTGAGGAGAGACTGAAAAGGCCAGGACTGGGGTTCAGGGGGCAACAGAGCGACGGGACTGAGGTGCGTGAGGGCGGCAGGCACAGCCGAGGTGGACGCAGAGCACGTTCACCAAAACCCGCCGCCGCTGGAAACGGGCGGGCGCTCCGTTTCCAGTGGGCACAGACGAGTGCTCGTCCTGCGTCTCGGGGCCTGGCGCGGACGGGGCCCGTGTCGGCGCGAAAGGAGCGG